TTGGGGGGGGCCCCCCCCCCCCCATACCCCCTAAGCCTTCTGGCAGAACAAGTTCTGACTTTAGAAACGAAAGGCTCCCTGGGGAGAGCTTTCGTGACTTCGCCACATGATCAAGAAACTCAAAACATCTTTCAAGACGCTCTAACTTAGCAATCTAGATTTGTTCTACTTTGCTGGGAAACAAGACACCAAATGCTCAGCCAATCCGGCAAAACGAGGCTGCTGCGGAGTCGCTGGCTGCTGATAGCCTCGACCTGCCGAACGCGGCTCTAGGACCGGAGGAGCTTAGTTATGCTTCTAATTCTAATTAGGACCTTCACAGGCTTTAACATTCAGCGCATTCCCCCTTTGCTGTCCGCCATTGCCTTGGTCGAAGGCTCCAGCTCCTGTGCCCAATTTGGCACAGCCCACAAGGCGACACGGTTGCCTTCTAAAACCCCTCCTTCGGGAAGGCTGCCCAGGTTGGGGTCTTCCTTACGGGGCTTCACGGCTTCTCAAATTTTCAGCGCTAAGAGCGCAAGAGCCGAGAGCGAAACCTCTCCAGGAAGCGCCGCCTAAGCCAAGAGCAGTGCTGAATTTTCGGGAGCCCCCGCCCAAAAAAAAAAAACACGCAAAAAGCGGCGACTAAGCAGCTGGCTTGCGATCCTTCGCCCATGAGACCTCTAGCTGGTTCAGTCTACTGGGCTTGAGGAACCCTAAGAACTTCTCAAAAAACCAAGAATCTTGGTTCTCGCAGCCGAGGCATGCGCCAAGCTGTTGCTGCAGCTGTGCAATTTTCTGCTGCAGCTGCAACGCTTGCTTGCCTTGCGCACCAGATGTCTTCCAGCTTTCTTCTTCTCGGAAATGCCGAAATCGAGCGCATCATACCAAGGCGCTCAAAGCATTGATGTTCATAGGCATCTGTGTTGGGCTCCTCGTGGCCGCAGATTCTATCCTATAAGTCTATGTGCTGATCATTGACGACAAGGAAAACACATACCCAGAACTCTCTTGGCTTTTGTTGTTACGGCCACACCCTAGCTACGAGGATGAACCAAAGCCTAAAGCACTAGGTGGACATGTCTGCGATAACAAGAACAGCAAACCAGCAGAGCGAAAAAAAATGACTCGACAGAAAAATCATCCTGCATGAAGCGGTCTAATCTAGAGGGGCTCCTCTGTGCCTGCGAGGCCGCAGCTGATGGCGGAAGCGGGGGCGGAGGTGGAGGGGACATCATAGCCTTCGCCTGACAAAACATCGTGCCACACTGAAGTTTAATCTTCCACATACCACACATACCGTTCAAGCTGCATCATTGAAGTGCCTGTGACTGTTGCATCGCCTGCTGCTGTTGCAGCTGCTGCTGCTGAAGCTGGAGCTGCTGCTGCAGCTGCGCCAACCCAGACCTGTTCCGCAAGGCCAAGAGACGTCTGGCATCGACTCGCTGCGAGCACGTGATATGTTCTGAGCCCGGAGCTGAATTCCGCCAATGCTGTCTCCCATCCCGCACCCACCACATCCTGGAAACTGCCCACAGCATCCGCCGCAGTTGCCGCAACCACCACATCCACAACCACCACCGCAGCCTCACAACATTGGCTTCAAGTCAACACCGTGCATCAGCCTTTGCCTCAAATCAGGTGCAAAACATTTTGTCTCGCTCTGCCCTTTCTATGCAACATCTTGGCCGGAGAGCTCTAGACTTTACAAGAGAAACCGAGTCTGGCCCAGAGTCCTTTTAAGGTCTCTCCGTGGCCGACCGGAATGTCCCACAGGAGTGGACTGTTGAAACATGCCGTTCACTGTCAGTCGCTGCTGCCAAGTCTCTGCTCGATCTGTTACAACATGGCCAGAAGCACCGGTTGCGTGCCCGGGGCATGTGGTTCCAAAACTTGCATGGCACTGTGCTCACGTCCCCCTTCGGCATTGAAGTCTGTGTCTAACACAAGCCGTCCGAAGTCGTTCTCGACAGGGCACGGCTAGGGCATGAACACTAGAAGTCATCTATGGCTGTTGAACAGGCCAGCGATGACTTCTAGCAGCTAGAATTCATGGCCCGCCCACAGAACACCTGTAATCGGTGGGCAATGAGAGGCCTAAAGAACCCTGCATGCATCCGCATCTGTGCCAGCGAACCGTGAGATACTGTAAGCCACAAGCTGTCATAGCACAAATGTCGTGTCCTGCTGCTGCCTGTCGACCCTTGCATTCCAACACTATGGCGATTCGAGCCGTGAAGTTCCGAAGGGTTCTACGCGGCACCTGGAGCCCCAAAATTTCTGGTCACATGGCACGTGGCGGATGTTCAAAACACCCTTCACAAGACAGCCATGTGGCAGGTAGGTTTCCTACTTTGGCTAGGATCTCTTGTAAGGCATTGAAAGGCCCTTCTGTAGAACAACCCCGCGACACGGCCCCCCCAGGTAGACCTCCGCAACCACCGCAGCCACCGCAGCCGCTGGACCTGCCAGCAATGCAATGAGCGGGACTTGTATAGCACTTGCTTGTTGGGTCATGGAGGCTGCGGGCTTATCGAAGTCAAAGCATAGTCAAGCATCGGCCTGCGACCGGCAACACTCTGAGGCCGCAGCCCCCCACAGCCCCCACAGCCGCAGCCGCAACCACCTGGGCTCGCATTTGAAGCCAGAGCTCATGTTTCGAAAGCAGCGCGACTTTGTCGAAAGATGTTGAGGACGCAGCCACCGCAATTCCTTGGCATTGCGTGAGTACATGTGATTCGTTGAAACCGGAATGCAGAACTAGCTACAAGTACCAAGCAAACAAGACGCATTGATCGAACACTGAACGAGGAAAGCTAAAGAAGTTAGCCGCTACATTCACACTCCATGTCATTGACTGGGACCCCGGCCCCCCGCAGCCCACACCGCAACCACCACAACCGCAGCCCCCGCAGCCACAGCAACCGCCACAGCCACCACACCCACCGCAGCCACCGAATCCAGAATTCCCGCTTCGGCCGCAACCACCGCACGGCCCTCCGCAGGAGCCAGCGCCGCAGCCACCACATCCGGCTCCACATCCAGCTCCGCAGCCAGTCCCGGGCCTAGGCAGAGCCCCAAAAGTCGCCCAATGGCCCATGCCGATTTATGCAGAAAGGCCGCGGCAGGCCCATGGACTGCCTGGCCAGGGCCTGGCCCTGCTGCATCAACCTTCCGCTTTCGACTTCGCGAGAGATCGCAAGGCTCTCCGACGCGGCTCCGAGGCTCCGACAAGGAGTCCACGTCCGCTTGGCTCTGCGCCTCGGAGATCCGAGAGAGGGGGGCGACCGCTGGTGCCAGGTGCCGGTGCCATTGGCCTGTGCACCACAAGCAGTCGCACCATCGCTTGGCCTCAGGAGACGTGCTGCCGTGCTCTGCTCCGGCTCCACAAACTAGTCAGCTCAAAGTCCAAGGCAGCTGCATGTCTGAGAAGAACGGCGCTGTCGGGGCCGTCTGGCTCTGAACCTGGCCGCTTCCGGTATCGATGGTTACATATGGTTTTGCGGCAGCGCCAGGCCTTCCAGCCATGCCGGCCCAAGGCACCAGCCTTGACACACGAACAGGCAGTCAAGCGAGGTATTTCGATTTGTATGTAGGCTCGCACGTCTGCATCTGCAGGCTGCGAGGAGCCCGTCCTGCCCACTGGCGAATGCAAAATTTCGCCAGCTCGGTCAGCTCTGGCAGTCTCTAGATTTCTGAGGCCGCAGCCCGGTCCAGTTGCCGGAGACTTCCTGCAAGCCACAGGTCAATTCAGCCGGGTTGCAAAGCATGTTTGTCTGTCCTGAAAGTTGGGTGGAGGAAGCAGGTTCGGCGACTTGGACACTGCTGCACTGCCTGGACGACTTCGCCACACAGCACAAGCTGACATGGCACGGCAAAGCTCCACATACCCGGGCCTGAATTCGCCAAGTTGGGTCCTCGCAACTCGCAACCGGGGCATCTCACGAGATAAGAAAGTTTCTCTTGCACCGTCAGAGCATTGCAGCGCTGGCCTGCACAGTATCTTCTCACTTCCAGTCGGATGGTAGAAGCCTTCACACTGCAGCCACTAGAGCAGTACACAAACACACACACACACACAGAGACAAACACAAAAAATCACGAAAAGTGCTGAAACTCTTTGCCTCCATGACTTTACCAGCTATCGCTGGCATATGGTGTGCCAGCGGGCCATCAGCCTTGGCATGAAAAATCGGTTGGCCCTGGAGTCCTGGAGCACAATGGACTTGCAGCCTGGGCTGGGAACGTTAACACCATTGACCTTGACCACCAAGTCTCCCTCCTGTATCCTGTAGCCCTCTGGGCTTTTCCTTAGAACGACCATGCTGTGAGACTTCCAGGCAAAGCTGCTGCTGTAGCTACGGTAAGAGCACGGCTTGTTGTACGCATCCACCGCCCCTCCGTCGGCTACCTCAGAGCAGCGGTGCTCGGTGCTGACTCGAGAACAAAACGAGAGAAAGCGCCTTTTCGACGACCAAGCCTTCCCTGTCGGGTGTGTTGACCTGAGGCTAAGACAACTCGCGCAGAGCCAGTGATGGGGCAGCGGCTCGCGTTGGCAACTCGCTGTTAGTTGCGAGTATACACAGCAGCTACAATTTTTCACCCGCCACAGCTCCGCAACACAACAACGCATACCCACAGCTGCCTACTTCAGGCGAAATTATATTGGCATCGGCAAAGAACTATCCGTGCCGCTCTTGTGCAACATCACCTTGCCTGCTCCTGTCTTATGACTTCTGATCTTATATCCTCAGTATGCGCTGAACAAGACTTTTTCTGACACACCCCAGAACAATGCGTCAATAGATCATCCGGCTTGGGACTGGCAAGATCTGCACTTAGGGCGACACCAACGACAGCTGGATACCAAGGCGAGATCCAGCTGGCTTGGGAAACTCCGCCTGTGGGCAGGTTTGCAGCGCACACGACAAGAGTAAAAGTAACCGGATGGCCCTTCTGCCTCGAAGGTGTGGATCATGGGCCCCTGCATCGCTTAGCCGGCAAAGGGCTCCGCACCAAATACAATCGTCTATCCCTAAGTCCTAAGTTCCCTGCGATGACCCTAAACCTGTAGCGCCAAAACACGGCGCACGGTGCTTCACAACGACAATGCTGCACGAGTTGCCTACTTGGGTGCCTGTTGAAGGGTACAGCTTCTGCATTCTCGCGAGTACTGGTAAGAGCAACCTCTTGTCAAGCGCTGAAGTGAACTACTGTGCTGGGCATGCTCGTCAAGACGGCTCAACCCAACGCTGAGCTGAGCCAAAATTCCAAAAAAGGAGAAGAGCTTGCGGCAAAAACGCAAAGTCATCGCAGCGAAGCTGGCAGCCCCCGCACACTCTGCACTCGCAATCGCTGTTGACTTCCAGCGACCGATGAGCACCGGTCGCCCTCCGGCCATCCTGGCCCTGAGGACGTTTCGACGCACAGGGACTTCATGCTTTCTCTTCTGCAAACAGCTGAAGAAGTTTTCAATTCGAATTGGAAAGCCTGGCAAAACAGGCTCATGTCTTTATGTACATGGCGCTGCATTTCGGCCGATCTGCCTGGAAACCGGCTAAAGCCTCCACCGGGAGAGAGCTTCCTGGTGCCACAGGGAAACTCGCAAGAGCATTCAATCTCTTCGCTCCGTTTTGCACGATACTAGGCACATAGACGGAGGTGGCAAGACTTCACAGACTTCAGGACTGCATTGCATGGTCTGGAATGTCAGGGATCCTGCCTTGCTCCTCCACCTTGTCGCTGAGATGCGGCCTGAAGACGCTTCTTCAAGGCCGCAGGATTTCGCACCACCAACAACCCGCAGGAGTTGTCAAATGAAAATAAGTTGCGCTGCAAGCACTGGCACCTGAAAGAACCTTGACAGAATTGCCTTCAACCATGCTGGCTAATCACGGAAATCTTCATTATTCCCATGCAACCCCGAAGATACAGTGAAAGCCAACAACACATATCGCATGTTCCACAGCCTGGATGGCTGGTGACCTGCCCGCGCCCGCCGCGTCTTGCCTAGGAGTCTGTCATGCCGCTTCTGTCAGCTGCAAGGAAGTCTAAAGTATCGCGCTTCCCATCCTCCTTCTACAGGATCGAGGTGCACGAAATCGCTTCCAAGAGCATGCTGATAGTCTGCATATTATAGCATATCATGAGTTGCAACACGCAGCTCGGCTGATGCCTTTTGAACCTTGAGCTCATGCGCCGTCCTGCAATCACTCACGTCGTGGACTTGCCTTTTGTTTCGGGCCTTGGCTGTGAGCATCTCTTGGACGGCCACACTTGATTGTCACATGCTTGAGGAGTGGACACAAGGCTGACACCGAAGACAGTTGCGACAACTAACACGAATGCCTGGGTTGACACCGCAACTGCATCAACACAGGCAGCCATGTCATGATGTGGTGCGTATGCACACTGGGCATTGAACCAACAGAGACAAGAACACTCGAAACTCGTCTGGACTTCCCGGGTCACCGCGTGTCTCCTCACAGGCTGAAAGTCGGGAGAGTGCAAGAAACATATTTGTCTACCTCATCTAACGAATGCTTATGGCTCCACAAACCTCGGACCCTGGGTTGCACACCATGCACAGGCTGCACGGGACAGACGGCAGAAACCGGGCTGTCTAGGAGTTGGAGCCGAGCGTATTACGCGAGGTCTGTGCGACCTTGGCCCAGAGTCGACTAGAGTGCAGAATTCAACAAGTGTTGCATTTCCCAGGCTTCGGGCCTGGAAAGACTTGTGATTGTCGCACTCTTAATCCCGATGCCTACTTTTCCCTCATTCCGAATGAAGATGGCTGCTTGAAATCTGTGAACCTATGTATCATTGGGTGCGCAGGACTTGCATGCACTGGGTTTGCAAAGGCACCGCTCACAGAGCTGACATTTGGTGAATGCATCACTGCTTGCTGCCACCAATACCCGGCTACCCATACAACGACATGCTAGCGACACACGAGCTACTGCTTCTGTGTCCAACAGAGTCCCAAGCGTTGCGAAATGACAGCCTACGAAACTAGGAGTCTCGATGAGTCTCGAGTCTCCTCGATCAGCGCAGGAGCAATCAGAGCCCCCAGGCGGCCGCAGGTGCCGGAGATCGACAGTGCGGAGACGCGGATCAGTGATGGGAAAAGCTCGGCCTCAAGGCTCAAGGAAATGGCAAGTGGAAAAAGCGCATCCCTGGGGGGCCCGGACCTTCACGGTACTGACGGTCTGTGAATATGTCCTCAGAGAACCATCGCGGTCAGGTCCGCAGGCCTGTGTCAGTCCCCTGCACGACTGGGGGGCCACACACCATCGTCAGCTTCAGAAGGAAGATCCCAAGGACTGGAAGAAGCGGCACCTTTCATCCAGCACAAAGCCCGAGGCGAACTGTTCGACCCCAAGTTGCGGCCGAAGAACTCCACTTACCAGGAGGCAAGCAACCGCGACAATCTCGAGAAGTCCACCGAATATCAGGATCTGTCCGGCAAGAGGCCAGCCCAAGCTCCCTCCCAGAGACTTTCCAGCCCACAAACCCAGCCTCTTTGTAGCCGTACCTGGACTGCAGCGCCTCGATGCAGCAGAGAACTTCGTGGCATGCTGAGCAAATCTCGACAGGGAGGGCCACATGGCCTGGTACGCCAGATACAAAGCAGGGAAGGCCACCAGATTTGCAAGGACAAGTTCACCGACCTGAGCATCTTGCAGGCTCATGAGAGCTCAACCTGGACTGAAGCAGCCAAAGCAGTAATTACCCCGACGAATCTCAGGCTGGAACGGGGGGCAGCGGTGCACCCTTTGGCAGGTCGGAGATGATGATTGCCACATGGGCACTACGGTATTCCATAGACACGGGCGGTGCCCGCCTCTGCCAATTCCGAGATGATCAAAGGGAAAAAGTAGCCTGCAAAAGCACTCAAAGTGCAGGATCTGGCTCCGAAATAAGCCATTCCATTCTGCAGATGAGAAGCCACAGCCAAAGCCTGTAAAGTTGTAGGTGAAATCCAACCTTCAACGGTAGGATGTAGAACAAGCTCATCTTTCAAGCATCACGAGTGTCAGGCACTGCGCTTCCCAAAAGGGGAAGACGCGAAGCCTGGAAACTTTGCCAGACGACCTGAAGAAGGGAGAAGAAGTCTCTTGCAATCTCTGGCATCGCCAAACCAAAAGGCTAGGGCTAGGGACATGACTTCTGTGCGTCCACTCGGCGAAGCTGCCCCAGTCGAAGCGCTTCGTGAGGGCAGTGGAGGTGGCCTCCAAGTGACCTCAGGCTTTAGACATACTCTCGATCCGACCAGTGGCTGCTGTGTGGCTCTGACTGAACGGCCATTGCGTTCCGCCATCTTAGAAAGGACCTCATCGCACGGAAGAGGCGCGCAGGTTTCCGACACCGTCTCCTGGATTCCCGCTCGCCGACTCTGAGCTGCACTGAGCTGCACGCCCGCGAGACATTGGCCGCGTCTCCCTGGCAAGCCACGAAAAGGCTCAAAGACTGATGCTGTGCAGCCGCAGCAGTGGGGCTGTGGTGCCTTGAGCATATGGAACACCGGCGTGTCCTACAAAGCAAGACAGCCATGGGACAGGTCGCGGCGGCCCAAGCTGGCCTCCAGCTCCAGCAAGGCGATGGGGAGTGCCTTTCAACCAAGAGTCACCGGAACAACGAGCCCCTAGACCACATTTTTGGGTGTTTTCGAAGCTGAGGTAGCCACCAGTGCTGCTGGAATAGCTGACCAAGCACACAAGCCTCGCGGGTGCTGCGTTGCTGTCACACATTGAGCATCATGTGGCTTCAGGTCAGAACTTCGCCAATCCCCAGATTTCAGATCCGGAAGAAAAAGGTAGAGTCCAAGATCCTCAGCAGCTCAGCTCCGTCGATCGAACAAGACCACAACAAGTCATCTCGGCTCTGCACAGCATAGAGGGCCCCGAACCTTGGCTTTTAATTGCATGTCGCTTGTACCACATGCCTCCCCCGAAGCTTCCAAGACTCGAATCAACTCCGAGGACAGACGGACAAAGACAGGCCAATGGCCCCCTTAAGCCGGAAGAGATGGAGGGGTAACGGGTCGCCGCCCAGAAATTCAACGTACGCACTTGAAAGCCTAGACCCGAAAGAGATGAAAGAGCTGAGAAAGCGCTTGAAGGTTTTTATCAAGTCGAAGCGCCGGGTGTCTGTCCTACAGGCGGCTTCTTCTCCAATCCTATTGGGAGTTGCATTTCCTTGGGTTTGACCTTGTTTACGGGTCCTTGTCGTAAGGATCCGACTATCTAGGCTCATATTAGAGACCCTTCTTTTCTACAACTCGCAAGTATTCCTGTAGGTAAAGCTCGTTTCTGTTTTCAGGAAGTGAACCAACACTGAGACTTGCACTGGGTGAGTGCATCAAGACGAAGTCAATGTCATCACGTCTTTCTGCCCGAAAGATCAGGCCACAGAAGGGTGAGGGGGGACCCCTCTCGCTACATGCCTTTGAGTCTCGAGTTCTCGGACCTAAAGACCCTAGAATGTCTGTTTTTCCCCCGTTTTCTTACGTACCGACAACTCCCACAAGCTCCCGAAAAGCTTTCGTGACATGAAAGAGCACATGCTGCAAGGAGACGCGATCGCAGCGTAGCAGACACTCAGGAGCTGAGCACGACCTGACAGAAGTGATGCAGTGATGCGCTGAATGATGCAAAGCTGAGTTTGCTCGGGTCCGGGCTGCTGGCTGGAGCGATCTCTGCCTCGGAACTCACCAGAGCTGCGAGAGCTAGGCCCAGGCGGCTGAGGCTGAGGATTTCCGGGAACCTTGCGACCATTGTCAACGAGGCGGGCACTCCGATACCAACCTCGGAGATGAAAAATGGAGACAGCTTCAGACATTCTTGCAAAGGGCTGCATAGCTCGCCGAGGCACTCACTGAGAACCCCGTGACCGCTCTGAAAACTCCGACCTCAAGCTGGACACTAACATAGAATTTAAAAGTAACATCCTCTAAGTCCGAGGTACAAGCGATCAAGGGCGATGCCGCACCCCACATCCCCCAAGACCTGCGAGTTCGATCGAGTGGACCGAGATTGCTCAGGGCTTCTTCACAGCAGCTCAGACACAGTCCCAATAATGACCCCCATGTAGCCAACAAGGATCGGCACACGGCGCCTGAGACACATCACGGTCGACGGCAAAGCAAGTGGAATACCTTCTCCGTGCCAGGCACAAAGCCCGAACTGATCGCCAAGCAAGCCGGACAGAAGCGTGCCAGCCTCACATGGCAAGATACGGAATGAAGGCCTCTGGAATATGCTAGCGAATCCTCTGCTTAAGCGCGCGGCTGCAAATCCAAAGTACCCCACTGATGCAAGCAGCGCCACCTCGAACATGCCTAAAGCTCCGTGCCCCGCTTGTGCCCCATCCGCCCTTCGCCATGCACGAAGCCTGGTCTGTCACAAGGGCCCATTCAAGCCGCCACGCCGTGGTCAAGGGTGAGATCACCTGACGAGCCGATCTATCCCCTGACACAACCTCACACACTCCGATCTGGCAACAAGGCTCTAGCATCCAGCTCTGCAGCTTCACCTTAGCTTTCAAGCAACCCCAGATGGTGGGCTGCCTCTGCTATCCGCTGCCGAGTCTCTGAAAAAGAAGCATGCGAGAAGCAGCGCCTGGCATCATTAGACGGAAGACTGTTGGAAGATAAGTACCTGCCTCCCCGCGCTGGCTCCTGCTGCACCTGATAGTTTCCGGCTCCGACTTCCTCGATGAAGTCTAGGACCGCCTCGAAGAAGCGGGAAGAAGAAGAAAAAGAAACAGCAGGAAAAAAACTCTCCTGTGTCTGCGCCTGCTGCTGCGCCTGCTGTGCCTGCTGGACATCAGCTTGCCCGGATTGGGCTCGGCGCCTTACACGAGCAGAACTAGAGCAGAAATCAGAGTTGGATGACAGAAGCTCACAGGGCAGGCAATGTTGCAGCAACCATCGCAATGTTCGATGTGCCTGGGCAATCGTCTGCCGGAAGCTGCCGCACCGAGGAGTCCACCTCCCCCAAGTGCCAGGGCCACCTGATTGCTTTCGTGTGGCCCTCTGCATCTCTGCTGCCTTTAATCCTGCCTCCGAAGGCCCGGCAGGTACCTCTGTTGGAGCCACAAAAGCTGCACCAAAAACGGGCCTTGCGGGACCGGAACCGACCTCCTCCTTCCAAGCGGGCAGCGGCCGCAGCCGCGAGGAAGGCGAAGGCACTCGCCGAGATCGCAGCACCCGCGCCGAGGCCGAGGCCGAGGCCCGCGCCGGATTCTGCGCCTGGAAGCGCGGAAATTTCTGTGCGATCTCGGCGAGTCTCGGCAACTGGGTTTTTTCGAGGCTCCGGCACAACGCGAGCTCAAAGAGGTCGTGGCCATGGCAGAAACGAAAGCACGCAGCAAAATGGAACCACAGGATGAGGAAGATATACATATTGACACTCGCTGCTGGTACGCTGCTACGTAGCTCACAATTGTGCAACCTGCACTTGTTCATGTGCCGCTTTAAACATCAATTTTCGATGCCTACAACCTGGGCAGTTCCTCCGAACATTCGCTTCGTCACAGACTCAACTGACGGACATGCACCCGAAGAAATGCAACAGTCATCGGCACTGGCTAGGCTTCGCGCTCGGACAGCGTGGCCGCCGGGCTCCGCAATCAATTCGCTCACCACCACTTGCTGCAACACCCTGTGCTCGATTAGATCGAGCCAGTGCTGCCGATGCCCAATTTGGCTCAAGTGTGGTTGCTGTGGAGGATGCTCCTGCTCTCGCTTTTGGATCTCCCTGAAGACTTCCTCCGTCTCCAGATCCGTGTAAGGAGTCTGCTGACGTAGCTCCATGTCGGACGAGTTGACTTCGAGACTCTCCGAAGCTTCCAAGTCAGCGGATGTCGAACCGGACTGCGCCGAGTCAGCTGAGTCTCGTGCGGCCACCTCGTCGTGCAAGGCACTCTCAATCGAGCTGACAGCTGATGCAAAACTCGTGCGAGCTTGCTGTTTCGGCAATGGTTGCAGCAGCCGCGTGTTGGGCCCACCGCCGGTGACAGCACGTACATCACCTTCGCCCACACCGTTCTGAGCGTGACCGTCACCCTGATCCGGCTCGCGGTCGCCTTGCTCGAGACGCAGCCAGGCTCTCATGGACCTCTCCGCATCCTCCTTGGATGCGAAACCGAGCACGCCAGGATTCGGCGATGGGGCCTGTGGCTCCTCAAGGCTCGTCTTGCGTCGCAAGGGCCATCTGCCTTTCGCCTGCGCGCGTCTGGGCACCGGTGCAGGTGGCAAGGCAGCTTCTAACCTGCTAACTGGAACAGGCCGAAGATCCTCTTGCAAGGACTCCTCAACCTGGATTGTTGACATGCCTGCACCCAATGTCGCATCGTCTGCGGTGCCCTCGGCATTGCTTTCAGCGATGCCCTCCATTGGCAAGCAATTCGCCTCCTCGCGCAGTGGGCCTTCCAGCCTCAAGGTCCAAAGCAAATCTAACAAGTCGCAGTGCACATGCTGCATCAATCACAGTGGTGCAGAGCGTCAAGTCCAAAGTTCATGACACCCCCACAGTACTCTCTAGCTATGCGGCTCTTGCCCCCGTGGCCTGACGTGGTAGGGTTGCGCAAGCGCCCGCCAGGCATTCTCAGCATAGGCTAATCGTCTCGCTTCCAGGGTATCATGCAATGACAGCTCCACCGACTTCTCGTACGCTTCTTGCCAGGACGTTAGCAAAACGTCTCGCACCTGACGCCTGCAAGACTGTGCACTGAAACTCTCCTCGCGCTGGGCCAGTGAAGGGCCTGCTGGCAGTCTTGGGAACGGCACAATCTCGTCTGTGCCAAACTGCCATGGCTCTGGCAGGTGACGTTCGGCGACGGGCCGATTCAGCTTTGCCGAAACCAACGCAGCCACTCGTCCAAGGCTGTGCTTGCGGGCAGACCTCTGGGCTTCATCGTGCTTCGTCTCCCAGAGCTGGGCGCGGGAATCGCAGACGGCAGAAGAAAAGCGAAACCGAGGAGACTCGATTGATCGACGAAGTCCCACCATGCACGGAAAGGGCGCGCCCCATCTTCAACTGCGAACACTTCGGACACATAGCCTAGATCTCAGCCTTTTAACATGTGCACGAGCTTGCGCTCTTGCCTGCGGAAACCGCTGGTTGTTGCAGGTACTTACTCCAGGTCACTCGAGAATACGCGGCCAAGGTGACGGACACTACGAAAACAAGAGCATGGCAACTGGTCAGAAGCGGTCTCAAGAGAAGCGGGTTCCAACCTCGATGAAGTTGTATATAGCACGGAGCTGCTCGAGGCTGGCCTTGTCGTGACCGCTAGGAGTACCGCGCTGCGCCGGTGCGCTTTGCTTCGGCCCCCGCCGGGTCCAGCTCCGGGTTCACAGCGGCTGCCGCAACCACGGCCTCTGTGAAACCCTTGCATTGCTCAACTGGTCCGCTGATGCCCACCCCCAGCCTGCCATCTGGCCAGCAAATCGTCCACGCTCCCAGCCGTCTCTGTTGCTGGAAGGCCCTGGATGGTCAAGAGGGTGTTGCAGCGCTGAATCTGGGGTCGCATACGTTGGCACACTAAGACATTGACCTAGAAAAGTGTTGCTGAGAAAGTCTTCAACATGCAACATTCAACGCACGGAATACTAACAAATGCCTTGAGTTGCTGGAGTTGCTCGCAAATTGTTCTAGGCTACAGAACTGTTCGTTGGAGGCGTGTTCAAAGGGTCAACTCGTGCGTGTACCGGTTTGTGGACTGATGGGTTTAATGCTTAGCAGCCCGATATGGTTTTTCATGGTTTCGAAACTTCGCGGAACAAAACGTCAGAGGGATTCTGTGTGCAAACATAATACCCTTGTTCTGGAAAGTAGAGGAGCTAGAAGCTAGGATGCTGAGGAATAGACGGTCGAGATCGCAAGTTTGTAGGGTCTCTTTCTGCGCGTTACGTGTTTCCGTCGAACGCAGAGGGGGGGACTCCCCATAGGTTTGTAAAATGAACACCTGCTGTGAAGGCGGAAGTCGGGAAGGTGACGTTGAGCATAGGCCAAAAGGTGCCGAAAGTAACCCAACGAGGATCCCAGCTGGAAGAGGTGCCCCCCGTATTCTTGGAGGAGCGGGGCCACCGTAAAGGACACGCTGGTCAGGTACTCGGCTGTCAACGTGTCTGTGTCGAAGTCCCGCCAAACTGGCATTCTCCTTGTAAAGCTTTGTGAGCTGTCTCAAGGCTGCTGCATACTTCCTTCCCGAACCCAGGTATTGAGTCTCTCCTGACCCAGATGCCCGAGGATGGAGTCCAGCTCGGTCTTCTGCTTTTGCGAACCTTGGGAGAGGTTGCTGACAACTTTCGGTGAAGATCCCGGCCAGCCCCAGCCCAGCACCTGGCTCCTCGAGTGTCCGATTGCGTTTCGCCTCAAGGAGCTTTCCCATCTCGAGCAGCGATCCCTGGTCCACGCCCGCGGCCCGAGATGCAGCTACCGTCCCCGGATCCAAGCCGAACAATGGCATCTTACTCGGAGCTGCTTGGGCCTTGATCGAGCCCCCCTGGCTCCAGAATCTGGTGGTCATGGCTCCTTTTCCTTCTCCCTGCTCATGTCCCGGATCATATCCTTCAGCTCCGATAGGCCCGCCTCGACCGCCGACGCGCGCTTGAAGATGCCGTCCCCACCATGCGTGAAGGCGTACTGGTCGTCAGCGACTTTCACCCAGGCCTCCGCAAAGGGGAGCATGGTGCCGAAGCCGATGTTCGCGCGTCTTGTAGTCGGTCTCGTAGTCGGTCTCGTAGTCGATGACTGCTTCCATCTCCATGCTGAAAACTCCGACCCAGACACGCAGCGTGATCCCAGGCACTGCTTCGGACATGCTCACGGGCCGGCTGGCCACCACGTCTACCCCGATGGCCTTGCCGAGTGCGGTGGTATCGAGATTCCATCTTTCCGATGGTACAGCTACGATGAGTCGTCCTCCCAGCTCTGCAATGGCGATAGTTGCACAGCTGGTGCCTGCGTCGGCGCACGGCACCAACCCAACTTTGTACTCCAAGTGTGTCCTGCCTCCCTGGACGACGAGCCTCCCACGGACACTCTGGAGCTCGTCGTCGCCTTTCCTTTCACCGTTCATGGCTGAAAGCCCCAACCCGGTTCCGAGAATCGTTTCCCTCTGTATCCCTCACCAATACGTAGACGGTGTTCTTGAAAGGGATCTTGTCCCTCCCAGACGGGATGGTTCGCCCTTCCAGACAAGCTCGATTGCAACCTGGATCCTCTCGCTCCACTCACGATCAGAACTGGCCTCAGCCGCAGCACCTCGCGAAGGAGGCTGGCAGGAGCTCCCCGCCAAAGGGAGAAGCGGAAGCCCCGCACTCCGCAGCCCGAACTCGAAGCCGCTCAAGTCCTGAAGCTCCTTCAAAGCTTCTTCCTGCCTCTCGACTTTAGCACGAAGAAGCGCTACTTCTTCTGGAAGCAAACGAACCTCACGGGCTAGCCCAGCTGCTTCGAGGCTCATACACAGGATACAAAGGAAAATTCGGAGGCAACCGCGATAAGCTTGCCCACCACGTGTAAGTAATCTGCCGCCATCAGACCCGGACCTCAATCAAGGGTCCCAACGCCAGCCCACAGACGACTCCAGCAGAAAAGACTTGTCGGATAATACCCCAGAGACGAGGTAGGCAGGAGGCAACGGGCAAAATTGATCAATCCCTAGCCCCAAGTTCAAATGATCAACGGAGCCGCCGCTCGGTGCTTGAAGAACTTGTACGATGGCAGCTAGGACGAGGCCAAACAAATTACCTGTAGAGGCAGCTTCTACGACCTCATGCATGGGCTGCACTCGAGCCGAAAAGCTATCAGCACTCGCATTCGCACTAATCATGTGCTGACATGCACTTTTGCCAGCTTCAGTGGTTGAGTCTGCTTTGGGCGTGCCTGGCCGTCTTCTTTTGGGAGCTGTAAAGGTGTAATGGATGCTGAAGAACTTGAACTACGGGATCTGCAGGGCTTGCTCGCAATATATGTCCAAAGCGTATGCCGTCTACATTTTGCCTTGTGCCATGCGTCCGCAAAAAACGTCCATGTTCGTCTTGTACTTTACCCTACAGTACATAATGGCATGGGTTTGCCGTCTACAAATGAATGTGGATGAGAAGTGCAAAATGACTTACAACGATTTGTTCTGAAAGGCATGTAGAGTTGAGAATTCAGCGTTAGTTAGCTGCACACAGTCTAGACCGTAGAGTCGCCGGATCGGACAGTATCATTGAATACTTGGATGTTGCACTTCACGCTGCTATTGGCGGTATCCCAGAACAGCTCAAAACCGTCGAAGAATGCGGTTGAATTCACGCACTTTCGCTAGTTCAAGTGAAACGAAACCGTAGCAGGCTGAATGTCTCTGTTGCATGCGAAGGAACATTGACGCAATGCGTATAGGCTAGGGTGCCATCTGTGCACGGCACCATATTTCAGAACAACAGTGCATCAATCATCTTCGACATGCCAAAACAGGGCTCCTAGTTCGATTCAAAGCAGACCTGAATAGCGCGATAGCGGAAAGTCTTGTCTTATACATGTATGTGTTGTCAGCCATTCCGAATCAGTCATTCCCATTCATACTAACTTTAAACTTTCCGAGTCCCAACAATCCCTAACTCTGTTCGGTATTTCAGCCCTTTGAAGTGTCGATAAGTTTGTTTCGAAAGCATTTCTCCAGTCTAGAAATATCAAAGAGCTGCTACAATTTTCCGGCCACGAGAACTGCTCAATCTGTGCTGCAACAACCTTGTCGCATTACTTTACCAGCAAGATGGGCCGGTAGTTTTCAAGAGAAGTCACCCTTTCTATAAACCGAAACAACAAAGCTTTGCGGATTTGTTCTCGTTCGCGACATTCAAATTGAGACGTCATTGTCGATTCTATTGGAACAGCTCACCGGGCAGTCCATCGTGACCAGGCATCTTTACGGATTCGATTCGTCGACACACATAATCCAGTTTGTCGAGGGTCAAAGGGGATTCATCTAACACATATCATATGAACCGCTTTCGTAGTGGACTGTTGACTCCAGCGGGCTGAGGCGGGAAGGATGACGCGGAGGAACCACTCCATTGGATTCTAGATAAATCCTCCGCAGCTTCTTGTGGGTAGTAAGTTTGGAGGATAAATGTACCATCCGCGGTCTTGAAATTGGCGAATTTTAAGATAAATTTGGGGCGGATAAATTTGGTGCGAAGACTTTGGGGGCCACTCCGTTTACGTCCTCGTGCTGCACGGTGTGACTGCAATGTGGTTGTCTTTCCGTTCGTTTGGCTTGTGTTGCAGCATCTTTGCAAATTGTCTCAGCTGCACCATGCGCGTGCATACACCGCTGAAATGTAGCCTCTTTTTGTTCGGGAGGTTGTATTGGCAAGTATTCCTTAGCAGATTTGAGAAGACTTTTGTTCAAATGGTCAAAGGTTAAAGCTGCACCTTTTTGTATTTCTCCGTTCTGCTGACGACTGCAGCATTGACCTGATGGAGCTGTAATTAGTCAGGTTTGCGCAACATCATCTTCGAGGTGTGTGCTCTGGGTCGGCCTTCAGCTAAAGCTTCACAATGACCAGAAGCAGTCTGTCTTTAAACAAGGTCAGGCACTGAAAGCAATGTTTGACGTTGCGAACAAAGGACCGGAAATGCAGCTTGTCGAAATCATCAATACTGGCATGCAGGACCCGCTCGGCAGCAACTGCTGTCAGTCGGCCGAGCACCTGGCATCGCCCAAGAAGGCTCAAAAACATGGCAAGATCATGGCGAAAAGCCTGCTAACTCGCGGAACAATCGAACCTCAGCCACCTGGTCACTGGTGAATTGCAGGTCCGGCATACCTGGACGGTAGCACAGGTCATGTTTGAAGCAAGCGAAGGTTTCATCGACGGTGCCTCCGCAGTACACGGAAGCCACTGGGGGCCACCAAGGACTCGTGTGCGCTGTACGCGCTGTACGCGCAACTCGGATATGTTGGATTTGGTTGAGTGTGTTCAACAAGAACAACCAAGGGAGCTGCAAGACGTTTTCTAGCGCAGAGCTCGTTGACGGGTAGGTCTCAGGCTATGAAGCTCAACATGCATGAGTTGAAGCTGGAACCATGGCAAAAGGCAGGCTCGGTACAATCAAGATAGACATGACAAATGCTGGACTTCGTGCTGCTCGAGTCTGTGCCAACGGAAGGCCAGCTCTCTTGCTTTCTCCGCAGACTGCACATGATCACCTGAGTGAAGCCAGCTGCGGCCTCAAGTTCGACGCAGAACAAGGACAAGCGTTCACCAGTCGAAAAAGAAATCATAACACCATCGAGTCATCAGGCGGGGGCAAGGCCGCAATGGCGCCAATGCGAGTTCCTTCGTCTTTGGCGAAGTCCTTCTCATGGCTCAGGTCAAGATGCTGCCAGCACTGAAGATCTACACAGGAACTTACTTTGCTGGCCAAGCTCTCCTCTGCAGCCTGCTTTCGACAGTCTCCGTCAGATCGGACTCTGTCAGCCAAGAAGCTTCCAGAATGCTCTGCCTAACAACTTTGTCAAACGGTAAGACGGTCATGACCCACAAGGACCAGGCAGACCTCGCGCCTCGCGCACTCGCTGCTCAAGTTGCCAGCTCAGGTCTTTGGCATGAGCGGAGAACTCTGCAACCTGCAAACACAAACATCTGGTTCATTGCTTCTGCCTGAGCATCACGGCCAGTCATGCCCGCGGAGGTCTCTACGAAGTTCTAGACTAACAAACCCGCGACGAATGGCCGGCAACATTTTCTGATGCAAAGGGACCATGCGAGTGTATTCGGCTAGTCAGACGCCTGCCGCAGACTTCAGGCTGGACCTCGAGACTGAGACTTCTGTAGCCTTCTGAAACCTCTACCCCCCTGTGAAAGACGAAAGGAGCTAGAAATCTCTTCGTCTCCAGGCTTGCCAGTGAGAACCGGTGTAGTCGACTCATTCTCGACACCGACGATTGAAACAGGGCTCAGCGAAGGTCACGGCCAGCAGCGAGGACACCAATGCAACAATCACCTCTCTACGATGACAGGCAAGTCAGAGAAGCGACATGAACTGCTTGAGCATGCTTGAACATGTCGTGGTGGAGGCTGAATACCAACTTCAGTGGTCTGCAGTCGCCTCGAAGGCGGTCAACCAGGTTCTTCTGAGCTTGACGTGCGATATCAGCAAGGGCCTGGTAAGCCCGAGAGAAAACTTCTTTCAAGCGGAGTTCCCCGATCCTCGCCTGAAACGGGCGCTCGTTGATGGGGGTCAGGTGCAGGCCTTCGCTGCAAAAGGGAACGAAAGCTGAAGAGTATAGACAAGACGACCAATGCCAACATAAGCGGCACTCACCTGTTGTGGGCCGAAGAAGTCCGGACAATTTGGGCCGCCGCAATCAGATCCTAGCTGAGCCTTTGAAGCGGGTTTGCCCTCAAACTTTTGAAGATTCGATCTAAATCTAAGCACGTCTTAAGAAGCCTAGGCATGCATGGTGATATGTCTACGTATATCTACGTTAACAAACGTTCTGCTCCTCGTATTCACAAGGACTGCAATTTTGGGTTGCAGATCGGTCACCACATTGCCACAGAGAGCTTTGAAGCTGTCCCTACAAACCTCTCACTGGGCTGAGGCATCTACCGTCGTACACATCCCAGGGTCCTGGAACCTGGGCAGGGCTGTGGTTAAAAAAGTTTTCGCAGAAACGATGGCTGGGATGCCGGCTGCTCCATCCCGAAGCCTCCGCTATGAACGGGTCTTTGGATCTCTTGCTTACGACTCATTGTCTCGCTTTGCGCACGCCATGGCCCTGGCCCAAGTGAAGCGAGCGGATACAACTCCGGTTTGACGTCCGTGACACCGGTCAGCAACTTCCACCTTCTCAGTCCCAGTGCAGGATGGTACCAGGAACGGATGGACTCGATACCTGCCTATGCGTAGTGGTCGATGCTTGCATGTGCTTGCCTGGGGAGATGTTGAGCTCTGCAACTGCAATGACATGTTCCCAGATTTTGCAGCGAACCTTCGGCGGCTTCAGTTCCCAAAGCCGTATGAGGAATGCAGGCCTCAGCAAGCCATGCCGTCTTGGGTCGTGTTGCTGTCATGGGTTGTCGAGGCTGCGACAGGAACTGGCGGTGGAGACCTGCGTTGCAGAGCACAATCGCTTGCCAGCCATGCCAAACAGAGTCAAGAGAGTACCCGCCTTGGAAGCGTTGTCACCGAGTCGACCTGAGCCAGGCAATGTGTTCATATTCTCTTCCGACTAAGCTGCATGACTTCTCAGACTAAGCCGCACCTCCATACAGTTCGAGGAAACTGGAGAAAGCGGTGTTCGCGTCATTGTCGAAGCAACCGAGAAGCTCGTGTCCAACTGGAACAACTTTCTTCACACTACATGAATACGGGCATACAGGTATTTCCTCAAACATGGCAGGTTGGCTATAGCAGCTGCAGAACCACCAGAATTTTCGCTCTTCCTACAGTGACACGTCACGAGCGCATCAACAATGCATACATGCACGACGAGCCAGCATGTCTTGGTCACTGAGGCTCTTACATGGAGTTCGGCATCATGATGGGTTTGACACTGGTGTTGTGGGTGGCCGGGCACATTGGCACCGGTCCCGAAACTGGAATTGCGGACGGCTGGGCTTGGCGGACCGCATGCACTGCTGTCCTTTGCGCGTGGTACTGTGCGTACCATGGGTGAGCAACCTGCTGAACAAACTGCCGATTGTGCAGTGTCCGGCAGGAGGCTGGAGCTGTGTACATAGCTGCAGGTCCGGTGCTGTAAAGGGACTGCAGCGTTGGAGTGGGACAAGCCATGGCGAGCCTAGACTCAAACGAAGCTCTGCCGGCTAAGTAACAACTGCCTGCCTGTCGATCATGAATCAGATGTTAAAAGGCCCGTCCTAGTCGTTCAAGCTTTCAGCTCGCAGTGTGACGATATTACATCTTTGACTAGCTGGTCAGTGCAGAACACACCACAGCACGGCATGCTCCAAACTAAATAACTGTCACTTACGACTGCAATCGGACAGGGCCAGTTCTCCGAGAAGGTCTATCTTGGGCAGAAAGACTGCAAAGCCAATTTGAGTGACTTGCATTTGCCTGCAACCATCACGCCATGACAGCAATCCAAAGACAATCAGTCTCACCTGGCGCTGCATCATGGAGTGTAGTGCTTTGGCATCAGACCTTGGTGTTGGATGATTTGTCGTTGGCGATGGCTCTTCACACCGAGTCGCGGCAATGCTTTTTGCACCATCTCGAGACTTTGCTCCTGACCCCAGAGGCGTTCGTTTAATCTAGCTCGGCACTCACACTCGGCCAAACCATGCTGCGTTTCCCTGTGGCTACTATCTTGTCGAGCAAACCCTCAGCACTCCCCATTGGCAGCATCACACTTATTAGAACATTTATGCTTTACGTTTCCCCTGCAATGCGTGACACCCCGTTTTGGGTGTCAAAACCTTCAAAGCCGATGCACAGGCTTGCGGCTAATCATGTCCAACTGAACGCATGTGCTACACGGCAAATGACGAAACTGTCAGCATAGCCACATTTACCCAAACTGCAGCAGCAATCCACAAAAATTGACCCAACCCGACCTCCAGTAACTCTGCAGTCTTACGTGTGGCTTCGTGGCCCCGCCAGATGGCAACTCGCACCCAACTCATCCTCTGACAGCGCTCTCTGCTCAGCATCGTGAACTTGCGTGTGAACCTGCAATGGACATCTGGAGCCTTCTTCGTTCAGAATCGGACATGCAGACGAAGTGCCTCGAGCTCCAAGTCCCGTCGGCGCTGAGAAAGTTGGAGTAAGTGTCGTTCTCTCTCAGCCGGAAGAGCCTCCAAGACATTTTGATGTGCAAAAATACTACATAGACCGTGCCCGTGCCCGGATCAACGAGTTCTTCTGCAGCTTGATCTCTGCTGCTTTGCTTTCGGCGTCGGCTATGCGAACTGAGCCAGCATGATCCTGCCACGACTTGGTTGTCATCGCCATGCTTTCAGCCCGGACGGGCAACAAATAGCTCCTGAGCCAAGCACTCCCGTTCCAGAATGGACACGGTTTCGGATGCCTCGCCAACCTTTTACAAGTGCGAGTCTTCAAAGCGAAATCGCGAGCACACATCTACTGTCCGGGATGCACACCATAATCCACGGCGCTTGATGGTCAAACATGGCACTGTCTATTACGGACACGTGTGATTTTAAAGTCAAGGTGCTACAAGCGAAGTTTGAATGATAAATTGGACCAACGTTCGAACTTTGAACATCGACATTAGGGCACGCTCTGCACTGAGATTTTTTCGCTGCCGTGGCTGCAGTTGCTGACCGTGGGGTTAACCCCACCGACTATCTCGTCTGGCTGCTGACCCTGCATGCATGCGCGCACTACAATTATGCTGCTTGCTTGAACATGTCAGCATGCAACTCTCGCCAAGATGGCAGCAGCTCCAAAAAGACAAAATCTTTCATACATTGCACTTGACATCTCGCAGATGACATCGATCGGTAATCGATCCACCGGCTCCAAACAATAGAACTCATCGACACTTAGTTAAGCTGTTGAAAACAATCATAATCAAGCAATGATTGCTTAATTCGCATGTTTCTGCTTAATGAAGCAGGCAAAAATGTTTATCTAAACAGTTTTTAACAAGAGAATTTTTTGTCGAGTTTTTCCACGTTAGTTCAACACTTTTTCTGTTGATTTCCAAGCTGATTAGCTGTCTTTTTCTCAATTAAGCATTTTTGAAACCTCTCTCTTTCCATACTTTGAAACATCGTTTATACAGGCTGCGCATCATCCATTGTGGAACCTGGTGGCTAGCCGGCTAGCCTGGATACACACGGTTTTTTTTGACGTGGGTCGGCCTCGGTGGCGGCGTCCGCCGCGCTCGGTCCAAGTGAATCATCAAACTCAGCAAACATGAAGTGAAACATATAAGACGCTGCCAGGTGAGCAACTAAGTTGATCATAGCTTGTTCAGCAAAGTCCCACAAAGACGCGCTATACAAGAGACACTCACGAGAAAACAAACTGCTCATTTAGCCTCAAAACTGTACAGAGGGCAACTTCTACTCAGCAGCCTGACGTGGAAGCAGAGACGGATCGTCATCCGAAGCGCGATGGAAGGATCGTATCCCAAATCCAAGGACACCGGTAGCCACCCTAGTCCCGTCGGACAGTACCACTGCCCCCATCCGACCGTTCCCACGTGGCTGAGCACACTAAAATCCATAGGCGGCAGGTCATTGCACTGCTGGGATGCAATGAACACAGATGACTAATAGCGCGGCATCCATGAGCAAGCAAGCACGAGGAAGTCCCACTCAGTGCTTGCCTATGCAACATGCGCCTATCCGACAGTTTGGCGAAAACAACGTGGCAATAAACCACGGCAGAGCCCCAATTCAAGCCGCCAAAACACTGGGTGCAAACCAGTCCAGCAGCACACACGCTTGGTCAAATCAAGCGCCCGATGATGGATGGCGGTAAGCAAGTTCTCCGATGCCGACACCGCGTGGTTCTCTATTGTCGTTCATGTGACATGTGTTGTGCATGCATGCGAAGCAGAGAACTCGCCCTCACTTGTTTACACGGGCGCTGCTCAGAGTAGGGATTGTCTGCCTGGCAGTGCAGGCAGACAAAAAGACCCCCTGCGTGTGAGACTGACGCTAGCTAAGGTGCTGGCGGTTTGAAGTTAGGTGTCAGCCAGGGCGTGCTTGACGTTAGCAAGGCGTGTTGAAGCAAGGAGTCCTGCGTGACTCCTGCTATGTGCTGTTCTTTTCGCAAAGGGTGGGCGGGTGCGGTTTGCGAAAAAGAGGCGCATGCGTGCTCGAAGCCACAATGCTACATGGAACGCTGTTGGAACATGCAAGCATGCAACAGATATAAAAAACACTACGATGACAATAAAAGAAAAGTATCACGTAGAGCGTTCTCTATTGTCGTTCATGTAGCATGTGCTGTGCATGCATGCGAAGCAGAGAACTCGCCCTCACTTGTTTTCACGGGCGCTGCTCAGAGTAGGGATTGTCTGCCTGGCAGTGCAGGCAGACAAACAGACCCCCACTTTAGTTCTGAGCTGTGCCCAGTTGGCTCGCGGCTTGGTACCCCCGCCGTCGGTGGGCAGTGCGTGCCGAAGTTGAAGCGACCTCAGGGTCAGGCGGTTAGTGCAGAGGCTAGCTTGGGGGGCGGGCGGTTGTGGTAACTCTGCACGGGAGATAACCTCATATGGTACTCCTTCGTAGGCTTCCTGGAGGACTGTGAGTAGGTAGCTTGATTGCTGTATGTTGCACACTTTCACTGTATATCATAGATTGTGGAACCATGGGTCTGGGCTGAGGAAGTACTTGTCGGTGGGCATTTGAAAGATGGTGTATTTTGGGCCAAGGAATTACCCTAAGTGAGTCATTCGGGTCGGGGTAGAGGGCCTCAGTAAACCACTCGGTAAATTCATCGGGGAGGTCGTGTCTACGATTGATTGCCCGCGGGGAATTTGCAAGAGCGCCTACATAAAGTTCAGGGCAAGTTTGCATAGTATGCAACATCGATCTTTCATAACCTAATATGAGCGCGTGCCTAACTGGGTTCAGAGAGTCTTGGCCTCGGGGACCGTAATAACGTGCGGGTCATTGTACCCATGCTACGCATCCCGGGCAATCCCCTGTACCGAAAAGCGATTGGCTACCTTTACAAAGCTGGTCTTTGGCACGCAGAAGAGGGCACTTGAAACCTTGGGCAACCGTCTGGGAGAATGGCTTAAGGTGGGAGTATCTTAGCGAGGCCTGGAGCCTTTCTAGATTGGCGTTACCATCATACGCAACACAATCATCGCAATCTGAATTGGTACCAAACAAATTCATACAACCCGGGCAAGGAATAATCATCTCAGATTCGCTGGAGTAATCTCGTCCTCCAGTGGAGCGATTCGAGCGGTGATCGTTACCAAAGGAGGCCTGGGCCCACGGATCATCATCTTGCTGGCGTGGGTTTTTGTTCCAAGTGCGTTCTGCATTGGACGTGGGAACATAGGAGGACCATCTATCTGTGCCTTTGCCTGTTCGCCTTTCACCGGAGTAACCTTTGCCCTTTCCTCTAGGTTCCCAAGTATCCTTCGAACGAGCCTTGCCTTTGCCTTCACTTTTATCCTTGGTGCGTCCCTTACCTGTTTTTCCAAAAGGAGGAATTTTCCAATCCCTGGTCCATCATGGCTTGCTGAATAATTGGCTTGCATACCTGTCATAGTGGTCAGGAGGTGCGATTGGTTTTTGGCTAAGGTTTCCAGGAGGTCAGGCGAAAGCTCCATTGGGAAAATCTCATACGGGAATAGCGGAATAGCTGTATGGCTTGTTCAGGGGCGAGGTTGGAAAGATCCTGGGTCTGAGAGTAGTGAAAGCGAAGCGTGGTGGTACTATGTCGGGCTGCGTTCTGGTAAGCTTGCAAGAACTTAAGGGTTGAGGACATTCGATCCTGGAACGTCTTTGGGAAAGTGCTAAGAACATGAGTCCTATGCTGGGGCTGGATTGCAATCTGACATACAGATGTATTGCGCGAGGGCAGGTAAATTACCATCGCTACCAGTTCATCAGTGTGGGTGTTGTAGGCTTGGAGGCTGGTATAGTCTATTTTAAGGCAACTGGAGATGAGCGGCACACCATCTGATGTAGGAGCCTTGGTCAGCGAATCAACCAAGGCATAGAGGGGTTGGCGTTCCAATCTTTCTGTGAGGGAGAGGTCACGCTCAATCTTTATCGGGGTATCTGCTGTGTAATTTTTGGGGTCCCTATTGCGAAAGTAGCGCTTGCTCATGCGAAAGTTTTGGAAAACTGCTTAGCCATGGCTTCAGTAAGGAACACTATGCGGATGAAGCTTGCTGTGCTCATGAGGAGGTGGTTGGAAACCGATTGTACATCTGTGTGCGTCAGCTCAGCCATTTTGAGCAGGTACCACATATTGTCATCTATGGCTTTCTTACCGCAAAAAGGAAGAACACCATGTATCAAGATAGTGCGCTTGTGCAACTCTGATTCGACTGAGCTAAGGCCTGCTTTAAGGAGTGTGTTTTTCGTTTCTAGAGTACGAATCTGGGGCGCAACGGTGTTTGCAGCATGGGAGTGGATCTCTGCTAAGGCGGGGCCAATGAAGGTTGAATGGTACTCCTGGAAGGCTTCCTTGATTGTTTCTTTTCCTATCTCGGGGGCTTGCGTGGAGCTTGAAGGTGCTGAGGGGAGAGGGACATCCGTTGTCATGGAGAACTGACCTATGCTTGGGTCCAGGCGGGGAATCTTCTCTAGGTGTACGCGTTGCCATAAAAACTTTCATGGCTTCTGGATCTGCTTGGAGCCTTTGTACTAATTGGGGATCCATGTCACCCCAGCTAGGGGGTTCATCGTCGTCAGATTTTACGGATCTTATAATCCTGTTACGGTCGAGGAGATGGAAACTTGTGATTGTTGCTTCTGTTGATGCGTCTGTAGTAATCCATCATACATCTGCTTCGTTATAGCTTGGGCGTCTGTACCTGAGCGGAGGAGGTAGGTATCATTCTCACAGGCCTGGAGATTCATATTAGGGCCGATAAGAGTATCTTGAATAACGCGGGGTGCTTGCATTGCTGCCAGAGGTTGCGGAGGCTGCTCAATTCCAGGTGGAGTCGGGGTTTCTTCAGAGGGCACCGAGGCGGCGGAGTCCATGGCGTGCGCGGGCGCCGGCGCCGTTGCCATGGCTAACGTAAGTGCTGGCTAACTTAAGTGAATCAAAACTGGCACTAAGGCACAAAATTGGAAAACAACTAACTCTCAGATGCCCAATAGGCGGCTAAGAGGAAAAGCGCCGATGAGGCTAGGGTGTGCAAGTGTGTGCCTCTATGGCATGGAGCTGTGTAACCCCGAGGGCTGTAGAAAGTGAAATGTGGACTGCTGCTTGCGCAGAGCACAGTTGGCTCGCTAGCCTGGTTTCCAAGCCTGGCCTTTCCCGGGCCGGGATCGTCCTGCTGCTCGAGCCTGGGTGTCGTGCTGGGCGAGCAAAAACTGCCAGGCAGAGGAGGCCATGGCGCAGCGCAGGCAAGCAGGGCAGCAGAGCACAGGGCGAGGCTGGGCGGGCAGATGAATCTTTGCAGGAAAGGCAAGTTAGCGCCCAGGTAGCTCAGAGGCCGGGCGGGGCGAATATGTGA